GGGGGGGTGTGGGGGGGAAAAATGTCGTTTTTGTACCGTTTTGCCACCCCCCCCCCCACACTCAAAGGTTGGGGGCAAAGTGTGAATTTCAAATTTTCGTTTTTAGAAATTGGGTTTTTTGAATTGCAAACGGTTTGTGAGGGTGTGGGGAAGGTGGGGGGGGGGGGGGGGGGAAGAGGTATTTCTTTTGTTTTCTTCCCCCAACCCTCGTTACTGTAGTCAAGTGTGAGTTTTAATATATCGAAATCGGTCAGTTATTACCTACGCCACCAGATATGATTATAATGATCATAAATGTGATATTAATCGAAAAACAACGATTATGATAATAACGCAATAATATACATAATACATCCCAGTTAAAGTGAAGAACTACCGGCCTTTTTTTCCGAGGGTAAAGATCGGTTAAGTCACGTTCGGATAAGCAGTGCGTGGTCTGCTGTGCGAGGTACCGTAATCAACGACTTGTAGGCGCAGTTTTGTCCCGGTATTTATTGTTAGACAAAATATGGTTAGCACCCTACAATATTTTGCTTTTGATGGTTATCAATCTGGCTGATCTTAGTGTTGTTGTCATATTGTAGTTTGAGATTTTTAGATGGCTTTTTTGGTGCTTACGTCGATAGACTGTATATAGGTTTTTCGGCATGCTTCATAATACCTTACTTAACCCTTTTTCTCTCATTCGTGCTAATAGTAAAACGACCAAAGGGCTTAAACGTCCATAACACCAGCACAAAACAAAACCCGCAACATGAACGCTTCATCGGCAGACACAATAAGTTGTTCTCTTCCATTGACTCATAGCATTCTGCTGCTCACAGTCAACGCTGTTGTGGGCGTTTTGGGATCACTTGGAAACTTGCTTGTATGTTTGGCCATTGCTACAAATTCCCGCCTACGCCGATCTTCTAACTACCTTCTGTTCAGCTTAGCAATTGCTGATCTAATCGTCACTTTGATATGCGAGCCAATCATTCTGGAGTTCATCAGCCAGTTAACATTCTTCCACAAGTGCAGAACGAGCGCGGAAGAACTTGTGTACCACGTTTTAGTCAGCGTTTCATGCCAGACTTCATTCTTCCATTTGGTTTCAATCAGTATTGATCGTTTCGTTGCCGTTGCATTTCCACTGCGTCACAAAATCTTTATGGAAAAAGGCGGACTTAAAGTTATGCTCATAGCATCATGGTCCCTTCCGATTCTTAATTCCGTTTTATCCAATATCATTCCGAAAGGTTCCAATCCCGTCTTTGATCTTATCGGATTTGTAATCTTTTCCTTCAGTGGTTTAAGTATTTTCTTGTTTCACTTTTTGATTGTGGTAGTTCTGCTCCACCACAGGAAGAAAACAAAGCAGCTAACAGCTCGAACAGTTTCTGCGAAATTGGTTAACCGCTTGGAAGTCCGTGTTACTTGCACACTGGCTATCGCAACAGGCGTCTTCACCGTGTGCTGGGTTCCTATAATCACTTTGTTTGCCATTGAAAAATGGCAAAACACCCCTCTACACTTTTGGCTCACAACCGTGGCTCTATCAAACTCAGCCATGAACTTTCTGATTTATTCTGCTAAAATGCGGGACTTCAGAAATGCTTACGTTGGTATCTTACGGAAGATTCTTCGCCTGTAGAGGGCTTGCCTTTTACTACGGTTTCAAGTATTGTTTAACACTAGAAAGTTGAACTCGTAATTACCCTATGAAAGGTTATAACTTTTTACTCAATAACGCACACCAAAGTGGTTGGTCAACGACCATTCTGGCAATGAATTGGCTTCAAACAAGGGAGCCAAACAACTTCGTTGCTATAAAATAACAAATCTAGGCAGTAAATGTTGCCCAGAAATTTAAACAGCTCTAAAAATGATGATGATGATGATGATGATGATGATGATGATGATGATGACAAGAATAATATTAGTAATTTACCTGATGTCGAGAACGTGCGCTGCGGATCAAGTCGAAAAAATTTGACACCTTAATATTATCTAGAGATTAATTAAAAGTAAATAACAATAAGCGTATCGTATATCACATTATCTTAATATTTATATTAGAAAACTAACAATTAAAGCATATCATTCTTAAAATAAGAAAGTATCGCAGGCAAGAGTTACATTTATATCCTTTAAATTCAGTTAATTTACCAAATAAGTTCTTGAAAATAAGTAATAGGCTTATAGAGTTAAACTGAGTTTGATAGATTGTTCCAATAATACTGAAAGGTGAAACTATGTATGAAAGAGAATTATGTGGGAATTATGAAAATGACTAGTGTTATACGCAAATTGCTGTCCATTGCTACTGCTTAATTATATTAACGCGCATTGCGTGGCCAAAAAAATGAGAGGTATGTGAGGGTGCAAGACCCTTAACAGCCTTGTAAATCAGAGAAAGTGCCATTATAGGGCTCTGATGCTCTATTAAGCGCAGAAAGGCAACCCGAAGGCCATAAGTGACTTTTCCTACTGCCTAGTATTTCCCTGTATTTCAATAAAGTCCTCAGTTTTTACTCTTAAGCTGACTCCACTTTACTGTTTTTATTCACACTGAAACAAAACTCTGTGTCCTACAAAGATGTAGCCTAACCACAACAAAGTCCTCTTGGGGTGAAAATTTTGCTCATTTAATATGTTATATCTTGTGCTTTACAAACACTGTCTACAAGAGTTAAAAAAAAAAGAAGAAGATACTCTACCAGCTGATATTTTTGTGCTTCGGATAGTTCATTTTCTGAGTACGTTTTCTACTGAGCCCTTTCTTTCTTCACGGCAAAGGTCTCAAAAGTAAAGATAAAAAGTACCCGATTTTGAGCTCAAAAAGCCTCAATAAGTGAAATCAGCAAAGAGCCGAAAACGAAATTCTATCGGACACAAAGGATCTCTGCGAGGTCTTGTCCGCAATTAATATAACACATATAGGGATACACTGAGATGATGGAAATATCATAATGCAACAGCGGAGAAACCCGTTAATTATACAGCGTAGCATTTGCATTTTTTCTATTGAATGACATGAGGATGATGTGAAGAATTATGCAGATTGATGAGGAGAATGCTATCTTATTGTTTATTTCCTTGTTTCCAGCGCCTGAAACAGAGTTGTTGGATGCCATAACTGCCTGGAAACGAGGCTGCTATGGCAAGTGCCATGGAATCCATGGTACAAAAATTGCTCGTAATTTCCAAATATGGTAAGCGCCAGCTAGTTATGAAAACTTAGCGGGGTGATTGGAGCCAGTCAAACGGTGAAATATTTTAAATGGATAATAATATGTCATATTAACCTTTCTAGCATGTTAATGTTGATGTTGATATTTTGATCTTGTTGATAATCTGGCTTGTCTGGTTGCCCTAGCAAAAGCTTGGAGAGTGTCGTCTTATCTTTGTGAATCAACTTTATATAGGTCCTTCGGACTCGCCATTAAATTTGCTTACGTCAAAGTTGACCGGGAAAAACAGATATATTTTTAACCCACAGTAAACAGCCGCACCTATGATTTGGGGGTTAATTTAGGCTGATCAAGTTTTTATTTACCAGGAGATGAATCGGCCTGAAAATGGTTTTTGATGTGTTCTTAAAATTTGTTTATTAATAGAGGTTAAATTAACGAACAATGCTTTATTACCTACACTAAAAAATAGGTTTCAAAAATTAATACATACTACCACTAATATAAGTAAACTTTGAAAGTTAAAAGCTCAACATCAAATTGTTGTTAATCAGCAGTTTTACTGTTTTCATTTCTTAAATCACAAGACCAGCAGCCCCTGAGTTTAGCTGAGTTTGTAGGTTCCAGCACACCTATGGACACCAAAGTACTTTAATATGAACACGTTATTGTTTTGGTTTCTTATTCTGGCATCCTTTTTCTTTTTATATAAGAACATGTTTTATTTATCAGGCTGAATTGTTTCTTATACATCTTGTGCTTTATTGTCCAACTTTAAGCCTAATGTCCTTAATCCACTAGTTCTTATATGCGGTTGTTTACTGTATTACAAACTTGGAGTTATTTTTATTCACACAAAATATAACACTGCCAAAAGTAGACGAAAAAAAGGAACAATACCGAATTACAGTGCCAATTTTTAGAAAGACAAAAAGCCTTTACCATAGCTTAATTGACTACCACAGTAGTAGTCTATCGTCTATAAGTGAAGACTAGATGCATGTAACTGAGGAAGAATCATGAAAGGCAGTCTACAATGGTCAATCCATTTTGGTTTTATTCATGTATTCACGGAAGTTTCGCCCTAGTCTACTTAACTAAAAGTAACTATATACTTTATATTAAAACAGCTATGCATTTCCAATGGTAAACAACCAGACTCATAAACTCCTTTTTTATGGTAGAGGCCTGCCAGGTCACGCTGGGATTCATGGTCTGCTCGGCGGGGTAACGCCCCGTCCATACGTATCCGGATATTTTTGAATCCGTTGTGTATCCGAAGAGACAAGACGACAACTACAAAAGTAAATTTGTCAAGTAGGATTTACAAAGAAAGAAAAGCGGAGCTACTTAATGGTAAGTGCAATTTTTGTATAGTCGGAGAGAGAAAGAAAATTTTCAAGCTACCGGAGGAGACGTCAACATAACACTCTTTGGAAGACGAAAGAGCGATTTTCTTACAACTATATGAGGCTGAGAGAGAGATATTAAGCTTTCAACTGACTGGAGAGAAATATTTAATAGAATGCACAACTAGAGTGCTGACCAAAAGCTGTACTGAATTAGTTTCGACCCAGAATCGAGTGCCCATATCAGTTCTGCGGTTTTGCAAAAGATGAGCCTTTGTGATACTGAAGCGTCGATGTATTAGTTTGTCTGGGATCACCATACATGCTGTTTGCCATTTATATTCTCAGACCAAGACATCGGCTTTAACAAATCATTCATTTGAGTCCCTTTCGAACACCAACGGGCTGAATGTCTAATTGCACCTGGTCCAGTTTTTAAATCGAAATCAGCAGCAAAAGACGAAACTTAAAAACTGACTTTCACTTAGGGTTCAAGTAAGCTTTGACGAAATAACTGACAACAGCCAACTTTTATTACTTAGAAAATGAGTGTTTAATTAAAGGATTGTCCCAAACGTGTCAATGGCAAATGAAAGGTGTATTGCTATTTCCTCTAGAGAAACTTCGCTGCTAAATTAAAAGGATCTTGAAACAGCTTGGGGTGTGTTTTTTTTAGCTTAAGTGCACCACACGTCACCTATAAGACAACTATATCGCTGCCGTACTTAGTAATGAGCTGTTGGTAGTTTCAGGACTTTAACCATTAGGGACTTTATTTCTAAAGCTAGATTTTCAGAATTTCAGATGGAAGCAAACTTCAAATGCAAAAGAATGTATACTTTTTAATTCGAAATACATTTAACGCGGCAAAACATAAGTTAAGACAAGTTTTCGTAGAACATTTTTTTAGCTTAAAGTACATAATAAAAGCATTAAATTAACTGCCGACTTTAGTGCCATGAAAAGATAATTTAAAAGACTTACGAGTGTGGTTAAGGGAAGGTGGAATCAGCAGTTGAAGGCGATTAATGTTGACTATCTGGGAATCAAGTGAAACTCACAAAGAGGGTAACACGCTTAGAGGTCTTACGCCTAATTTTCACTACTGAGCCGACGCAAACACAAGGGCAGACACTTACAAGTCATTATTTAACCCGGAAAACGGCCTTGACGCGGGAGCAAGGATGTGCATAAGCGCATTAGAGGATATATATTTCAGTTTTATTTTCTTTTTCGTGTGAAATGACAAAATTCTCTCTCCCGTAGGTGTTATCTGACGAAAGCAAACTACCCTGAGGATGACATTAATTTAGTTCATTTACGTATCGGGCTGGACAGTATATAAAGAATTAATACATGATGATAACAAAGTCCACCCGCTGATATTACTGTGCTTCGGATAGGTCATTTTTGAGTACACTCTATGTTAAGCTCTTGCCTTCCTCACAGAAAATGTCTCAGTTGCAAGGATTAAAAGTTCCCGATTTTGAGCAACAAAAACAAAACGAAAGAATTGGAGAAATCAGTAAAGAACCAAGAACGGAAATGTTGTTGGCATCAGAGGATCTCTACGAGATCTTGTCAGCAAAAATAACAAATGTAGGGGTACACCAAATCTAAATAACAATAATAATGTGTCGATAATTATG